CCCCCCTCAGGTAGCGATGGCGGCGAGTGACGGCGAAACGGCCCAGCAACAAGTGAGCGGCGGTGGGGGTGAGGGGGGCTGCGGGGAGCAGCGCGTGTGCGCTCGGGGTGTCACGGTCCCGCCCCGCGGCGTCCTCGGTCGGGCAGCATGAGCGCCGCGTCGAAAGCGGTGGCTTTAGGTGGCTTCGGGTGAAGCCCGGCCTTGTGAGGGGCTCCGTCCCCGCGGGCCGCGGTGCGGCCCAGGTGGCAGCGCGATTGTCTTTGTTCGGGCACCAACGGGTGGCTGCACGTTTGCACTGAAGAGCCATTTCAGGTGTCCAGTTTGTAGGTGGAAGGTGGCTGTCCGGTTTTTACGGGAGCTTGCTGGGTAAATTTATTCAGCCTTCGTAAGAACTAGTGCCAGGGCCTTGAGGTTTGTCTCCTGCTGGGGGATGACCCAGCTGGGAGTGGCACGGGTTGGGAGCTGCAGGGATGTGTTGTAGCTGCCCCGTGTCACTTTACTCACCTTGTCACTGCTGAGATACACAGGATTATCCGTAGAAATGCAAAAGCTGGTGTGTGTACGGAAGAACTGAGCAAAGTTTGCTTATGCTGTGAATCGGGACTGGATCCCCGATATTTATGGCCTTCGAGCGTACTGAGTCTTGTCACATTTGTAAATAAGCTGTAGAAGAGCAAGACTTAAAACTGTGATTGGCATGCAAGGTTGCAGGCTTTGGGGGAGTTTGTTTATTTTTGCATAATGGTTTTTCTAGATTGATGAAATTGAAGCCCTTTCATCCATATATGGTGAAGATTGGTGTGTTGTTGATGAAGATGAAAAAATCTATTGCATTAAGATTAATGATTGTCTGGATCAACCAAAATGGACCCTCTGTCTGCAGGTATAGTGGTGTTAAGGAGTTTGACACAGAATTTGCAGTTGCGCTGATGCAGGCAAAATCTTGTGCCTGCATGAAGCTCTTTTAAATACGATGTATTATCTACTCAGATGGATTAAGGAGCTTTTGGATTGGAATCTGTGATAGACTTTTCAGTGATTGTTCCTGCAACACATCAATGTGCTTGTGACATTTTCAGTAGTTACATATCCTAATTCCATACCTGACAAAAACTAATTTCAATGTTATTCTTCAAAGACTAATCTTTAAAATACTTTTTACATTGACTTTGTGCAGGATGCCTCAGTGAATCTGCTGCAATTGCTTCTAGATTTACTTTCTGGAAAGTGAGGATACAAAATGAAATTCGTATCAACTTAACTGAATAACTTGCTACTTTATGTTTACAGAACTGAAAACAGTAAGTTTACTTAGTGGAAGAAACACTGAAGTGTCTACTTATGGAAGTGCAGTGCCACTTAAATAAGTCCAGTAACCATGTACGCAGCTCCTTTCAAATTTCTTCTGCACTTTATTTTGCGTGACACTTCATCTACAAAAATTGCACCATGAAATATAATATTTGTATGCATTACCATTATTGGAATACTAAATACAGATATTCAGGTTTTCTTGTCATTCTGTAACAACATAGCCAACTATTTTCTTCATTTGTTACACCGATTGTAGTCCTAGTGCTCGACATCGGAGGCCATCAGTAAAGGTCAGCTAGCTGAGAGGAGTAGTCCAGCGAGTACTTATCCTGAAATATCTTTCAGGTGATTTTGCCACCAGGATATCCAACTGCAGAGCCACCTATTTATCAACTAAAGTAAGTGAAATTTTCTTTCAAACGTTTGTATTTCTTTTTTGAATTATCACTGTTGTTTACAGTGTAAGTTGAAGTTTAGTTAACTCCTTGAATTAAACTATACTGGGGGGTGGGGGATGTTTCCATCAAGAATATTCTATTCTTTCTCCTGAGTTAGCCTGCTGGAACTCCCTATGGCAGTTTGCTGTCTTCCCTCAACTCTAATTCTTGCACCATTATTTTGTGGCAAGGCAGCAATTAGACTGTGGAGGTATGGTGGCTGCTGCCTGTTGTGTTGGACAGTGATGTCTCATCACTTCCTTGGGTGTCCCTCTCTTGTCTGGATCCTTGTTTCAGATTGTAAGGCGTGCTTTTCATCTGAGTCCTGGCTCTTCTTGGGATGGTGCTGTGGCATGTGCCATCTTCCTATTTTCCTTCCCTGCTCTCCCCTTGTCTCCTGACATGTAAACAAGATGGGAATGGAGATGTGTAAGCCAGGTCCCTGATTTGGATGGTAGAGGGACTTGCAGGGCATGACACACAGCATATCTACTGAGTTTTGGTCAGCAGTATTGACAAGGCAATACAAAATAGCGCTGGTAAACTTGAGGCAAAGTTTATAGTTTAACATGAGACCAGGAGAATACAGGTACAGAGCTGAAGGGTCAGTCTAAGTATAATAGGTACTATGGTGCTGAAGGAGTTGGAAAAGTAAACTAATAATCATAGAATCATAGAATAGTTTGGGTTGGAAGGGACCTCTAAAGGTCATCTAGGCCACCTCCCCTGCCGCGGGCAGGGACATCTTCAACTAGATCAGGTTGCTCAGAGCCCCGTCCAACCTGACCTGGAATGTTTCCAGGGATGGGCCATCCACTACCTCTCTGGGCAACCTGTGCCAGTGCTTCACCACCCTCAGCGGAAAGAATTTCTTCCTTATATCTAGTCTAAATCTATCCCCCTTTAGTTTAAAGCCATTCCCCTTGTCCTGTCGCAACAGGCCCTGCTAAAAAGTTTGCTGCCATCTTTCTTACAAGCCCCCTTTAAGTACTGATGGGCTTACTAATACATAAGGTGACTCTGGAGTGACAGTGGCCTACCATGAAAAACAGGTCCAGCTTTCCTACCTGAGGTAAGAAAAGGCAGCCCAAGTTTGGAGTTTTGAAGGAGAACTGGGTGATCATGTTTTTACCAAGACGTTTACAACTGGAATCTTGTTAAGTGGGAATGACTGACAATGTTTTATTTTCAAGGTGTTTGTCACATTTATTTTAAAATGAATGTTTGTTGAGGTGTTGGAGTCAGTGTATGAGCACAATTTTCATTGTATTTCTTTTCATTCTAGCGCCCCTTGGCTTCAAGGACAAGATTATATGGAATTAGCAAATAGCTTGGAAGAAATATACGTGTAAGTTAGAGACTGTGGAATATAGTAAAAGGGGACAATGTATTTTCAGTTTCATGCCCTTCTCAATGTATGCTTTTGAAGTACCTGCATGAACTAGTAGTTGTGAAGTGATTGCTACAATAGCCATAAAACAGCAAGCGTCTTTTATAAATCTAACAATTAAAGATGCCGTGTATTTACTAAACATTTTGCAAGAACAAATTGTGTTAAACTCTGACAAATTTCTTTTATATTGTTTAGACCTGGTGTTCTATAAGGATAGAAGTCTTCATTTTGATTCCCTTTAGAATCTATGAGATTGCTTATGAATTGGTGCTATGAAGTATGAGATTTCTGCATCTATTCTGCATTTGAATGTTAAACCGCAGGATGTGGAAACATTTGTTCATGTCTTAGAGCGTAAGTGGCAGAACAGTTTTTCTTAAAAGATAGCTAAGGGATAAGTAGGTTTTAAAACAGATTAAACACGTGCAGAATCTATTAACTAGAATCTGTAACGTGGCAGACTGTTTATTATCACAGTGTGCAGCTAACAACAACACATAATGAATGCCTGAGAATAAACAGAACATTTAGAAATACTCAAATTACGTGTTTTTGAATTGCTGTGAAATTGGGGTAGTAAATGTAGTAATTTTATATGGTTTATTTAATTTTTTCAGATCCCAAAGATAATATAAACTAAATGAAATGAAAATAGGTCATAAGGAAGCACAGTCACGTCCAAAATACTGAAATCGGAACATCTTGCATAAGAAATGTTTTTTAATGCCATAAAATACGGAAGAGAGCACTTAGCTTGCATGAGGGTTTTTTATTTAATTACTCAGTTACTTTGATTAACTGGATTTCTTATCTACTTAAGCAACAGATAATTTAAGCAAGTAAAAATGAATTTGAAGTGTTAAAAATGCACAAGGATTTCAAGTGAAAAGTTCTATGGGATCATATTAACCACAGTTGTTCAGTGGAGCAAAAAGGACAGAGATTGTCCTTAACTCTGTCCAGATTCATAGGATTTGCTGGAACCAGAGGTAGAGCTGCTGTAAGTGGTTCTTCAAATGTCCTGAGCATCTGCCGCAAGTTGCCGTATGAGGACTGTGAGGAGAAATAGCAGGGTTGTGAAGCAGTTTTTTCTTTTTTTTTTTTTTTTCTTTTTTTCTTCCCCCCTGCAGTCTTGTAGACTGTTAAATTGTGCTGGTTAGATCAGTCCCTTGCAGCTCCGTTCTGTCTATATCAGTTGCTGTTCAGAGC